GGGCAGGCCCGGAATTTTCTATTTGACCTGGGAGCTGGAGTTGGAGGACACGGTTGTTTAATGAAAAGAGGTTGTATTTTAAACTCCTGCTGGGTTAAAAATCCAGATTGACTGTAAAACCTGTGTCCTTGAGCAATCTACTTAGACACCCTGAGACTCAGTTTCTTCCTGTGTAAAATAGAAATATAATTCTTTTCACTCAGAATTCTTGTTAAAATTAAATGGGCTCAGCTCACTTGCTTATTCCTACACCTCTGCCTGACCTCTAAAACTTAGAGTGCCCAATGTATATTCCCAATTTCTCCTTTCTTCTAAATCTCCATTTACTCCCTAAATTATCACACCCATTTCCATGGTTTATAATATGTGCTGATAACTACCACTTTTATACCTCCATCCCTGCCCTCTCCTCTGAATTCCAGACTTATTCATCTGGCTGCCTATTTGACATGACCACTTAGAAAACTAAAAGACATCCCAAATTAACACTGTCACAGCAGCGTGCTTGATCTGCTGCCTTTTCCCTGCCCTCCTCCCAACCTGTTCTTCCCTCAGACTTCATCATTTCAATATACGACACCTTTTCTCCATTTCTCACATTTTATCTCAAATACATCTAAAATCTATTGCCTTCTCTTCATCTTCACTGCCATCAACCTAATTTAAGCTAAAATCTACTTCCCTGCAAAACTTCCTTTTCTGATAGGTTTCCCTGTGGTATTTGTCTTCCATTGCTACATTAAAATGACAACCAACATAGTGGCTTAAAAGAGCACAAATTTATTATCTCATCATTTCTGTAGGTCAGGAATCCTGGCACAGATTAGCTGGGTTCTTTTCTGAGGATCTCACCAGGCTGACGTCAAAGTGTCTCCTGTACCTATAACCTAGAAAGGGGATCAGGGTCTTCCAAACTCATTTAGGTTGTTGTAAGAATTTGGTTCCTTGCATTTGCATTACTGAGGTGTCCATGTTCTTGCTGGTTGTTAGCATGGGACCACCCTCAACCTTTAGAGGCTGCCCTCAGGTCCTTTTCACATGGCTCCTTCTTCTGACACCATGGAAGTTTATTTCTTTAGGCCAGCAGGGAAGTTTCATTTAAGGGTTCACCTGATTAAGTCAGGCCCACCGAGGATAATCCCCGTTTGGATTAACTCAAAGTCAATTGAAGGAAACTTTGATTAACTCAGCAAAATCCCTTCACTTTTGCCACAAAGGAACCTAATTCCAGGAATGATGTCTCATCATTCCCACAATCCCAATCTCTGACCACAATATGTGAAAAAATTGCCTTCTCTGACCACAATACCTAAAATTTCTCCCTCTCCCTGATAACTTTTTATTATATTATTCTGTTTTATTTTTATTTCAATGTGTGCTTACCTATTTATTGCCTGTGTGCCCAATTTAATGTAAACTTCATGAGCACTTAGACCTTAACTTTCTCATTCACCACTGTATCCCCAACAGCTAGAAGAGTACCTAGAACATAGTAGACATCCAAAACATAGTGCTGGGATAAAGAAAAGTATTTTATCAGAATTAAATTTCTTAATATAGTTCATGATAGAAGAAATCTATGTTTGCCTTAGGCACATGTTTGCAGCCACGTCACTCTTAGGACATGGGGAAAAGTGGAAAAAGTAATATCATGGCAAAATTAATGCCTTAGGGTATGCCATTCATTTCATTATTCATTCAGAATATTTATCCTAAGTATAAGGGTAAAGGTTATGATCATAGAGGTCACAGTCCTGTGTGGTTGTTTTTAGAATGAAAAACAAGAATATGAACACCTCAGTAATGAAAATGCAAGAAACCAAATTCTTACAACAGCCTGAACAAGCTGGGGAAAAAACAAACAAAAAAACAAAACTACAAAGTTTAAGTTTTTCAGGCTTTCAACATCACTAATCATCAGGGAAATGAAAATAAAACCACATTGAGATATTATCTCACCCCAATTAGTAAACTGGCTATTATCAAGAAAACAGAGAATAACAAATGCTGGTGAGGATGCAGAGAAAGGGGAATCCTCCTACACTGTTGGTGGGACTGTAAATTAGTACAACCATTATGGAAAACAGTATGGAGGTTTCTCAAACAAATACAGATAGAACTGCCATACGATCCAGCATTTTCACTACTGGGTATATACCCAAATGAACGGCGAAGGGACACCTGCACTTCCATGTTTATTGTTGCACTGTTTACAATAGCTAAGATATGAAAGCAACCTAAATGCCCATCAACAGATGACTGGACAAGGAAAATATGGTATATATGCACAGGGAAATACTACTTAGCCACAAAAACTAAAGAAATTCTGCCATTCTCAGCAATATGGATGAGCTTGGAGAAAGTTATGTTAAGTGAAATAAGCCAGGCACAGAAAGAGAAATACCATATGTCCTCACTCATAAGTGAGAGCTAAAAAAGAAAGAAACAAACAAACAAACACAATAATTTGTTGAACTTTCAGAAGGAGAGAATAGAACTGCAGTTAGAAGAGGTGTGAAAGGGGGAGGGGAAGAGGGTTAGACAGAAATTGGGTAATGGACACAAAGAATAACTACATTTTGTAATGATAAATGTTCTAATAATCCTGATTTGATCATCATATATTGTACATAAATACTGCTAGTCAACTCTGTACCCCACGAATATGTATAATCAATTATGTATCAATTAAAAAATATATTTTTAAGTTTAATGGCTTTCATTTTTCTTTTTTCTTTTTTTTTTTTTTTTTTTTTTTTTTTTTTTTTTTCCTTTTCCACCA